AAAATTTCATGAATTTGTCAAATCTCATGAATCATCAGGTTTGGATGAATTGAGATTTTGACAAATTTGTGAAATATATGATAAATGTCATTAAATTTGCCTCAAAGCTCAGACATGAACTGTCCTATTGTTTTTGTGTATGGTTTGTTGATTGCTTAGAAAGTTTATCACGAGTGAGCACATTTTCTTCCCTGAATCAAGCAAAAAGATGATCATGGACAAGTGGGTGTTGCAAGAGGCAATGTACATATATGACATAGTAGAGGTCAGAACAGAGGTTTGTCTGAGCTTATGGATTATGCTGCTTCATTCAAATGTCCTGTCTGTTGACATGGATCCCCTTTGATGCACATCATCACCACGGGGCCAGTTTTTTTGAAACTGGCCCCATCCACTGGACACTTTCCTGAGGAGAGTGTCCAACGGATGCAATCAGAGCGTCTGAGGGACGCTCTGGCAAGCCAGCATCACTTGGATGCTTTCAAAAGCATCCAAGTGACACTGGCCAAATATGAAGCATCCGATGGAGGCTATGATTTATTGTAGAGATGGTCGGGGATAATCCACTGCGGATATCCGCTATCTGCTGGCAGATACCCGCCAGTGCCAGGGGGTGCGGATTTGGCTGTGGATGGCTGTTTTCCCGCCCAAATCTGGCAGATATCCAGGTATCCCCACGGCAATGGTGGGCCAGCTACGCTAACCGTAGCATAGCAATTTTTTGCTACAATTTAGCGTAGCGTTAGCGCTTTTTTCATTTTTCGCGCTAACGCTACACGCATGGGGCAAAACCTTGCACTAACTTTTAGCGTAGCGTTAGCGTGATTCCCCCCATCTGCTCCAACGCTACACGCACAGGCCGCCAAAAACTGCCCGCTACGCTGCGTTACAGTGATCTTTAGCGGTTTTGAGGTGTTGTTAAGCTCAAAAGTGTTTGTGAGAACCTTTTGCTGAGTTCGGAAAGGGATGTGTGAGGTAACCTCTGCCTTTCCTGTGTACTACACTAAACAAGACCACCAATCTTAGATTGGCAGCTTTTAATTAGTGATAGTGGAGTGTATCAAAAGATACTCTGTTGTTTAACAGGTGGACAGGTGCAAAAATGGGTGTTGTTGTGTATAAAGATGTTGTAATATTGTATGTAAGGGTTGTTATAATTGTAAAACCAAAATATTGGGGAACAAATAATATTATGGAGTGAGCAGTGATTTGCCTGTTATGTGGGGAAATGTCTGCAGGAAGTCTGCTGGGGAGAAATTACAACTGGGAGGAAGGGCCTCCTTATATAGACAACAATGAGGTATTTTGGCTCCAGGGGAGCCAGGGATGAGGGATTTTGGCTGGTTGTACAGCCTTACATGAGGGAATTTGGCCAGAATGGAAGAATACATGAGGGGTTTTGGCTGGTGGTACAGCCTACATGATGTGATCCTGTATGTTGAGTGGTTTCTGTTGGATTGACAAGCTGTGCAACGGTTGCTATGCAACCTAGCAACCTGCAGGCTGTGTTCTGTAAGCCGCATGATGTCATCCTGTATTTGAGGCTGTACACATCACATGACAGGTTGCCAAGGTAACCTGTATGCTGTGCCTGCATACTTCCATTGTACTTGATTGAGACGTACAGATGCCAGATCACATGGCCCGGAGGGGTGAAATGTGTACCTTGAATCCTTGTAACATGTAAGGGTGCTTGACCCCCCTACCTGTGAGTGAAAGAGGGGTGTAACATGTAACACAGGGGGGTTACATGTGTCCAAGCCTGCTCCTCAAGGGTGATTTTGGCCCTGGAATCCCTTCCTGGAGCCATATTTGGTGTAATATTATTGTATATACAAGAAACTATAAAATTTTTGAAGTTGTTGGATAGGAACCCATAAAGTATCCCACAGCGTTTTTTGCCGCTAAAAACACTGTAGCGGCGCGCTAACACTACACCAAAAAATGGCTAGTGTTAGCGCCGCTACAAATTAGCGTAGCGCAGCGGCACGCTAACACTACGTGAAAAAAAATAAAATTGGTGCCGCTACGCTAACGCTACATGGGCCCGTAGCGTAGCGGCTAGAGATGTCGCTCGATACCCGGGTACCTGCCTCAAAAATCCAATATTTTTGACACCCACACCTGCTAGGGCCGCCAGGGCGGGTACCTGGCACATTTTTGCAGGCAAATATACCCAGAAATCTCACCCTTGAAGTTCTGCATGACTTGTTAAATATAAGATTGATATTCACTAGATATATGAGTAAGAATAAAATAAAAATAAAGAAATAAAGAAAAACAAATTATTCTATCACCAATTTGAATTTTATCTTCTCTCTGATCTATCTTTAGCTTTACCCTTTTGCTTGGCCTCATTTGCCTTATTCAATGTCCATTGATGAAGACTGTACACTGTCTTTATGACTGGAGGAATTCCTCCAGTCATCAAGACTGTACACAATCTCAAAGGCCGGAGGGAACCCTCAGGCCTCAACAAAGCAACCAGATTAGTTCAGCAACACATGTAAGACACCAGCTGGTGTCCTACATGGGTTGCTGACACCTTTGTGCAGCCCAACACACCCAAAAGAGGGAGTGTTGGACCACCAATGATAAATTAAATTCTTCAGGGGAAGCATTCCCAGGGCAGGTGTAAGGCGGGTACCTGCCTTTTTTTACCGCAAATGTTGACACCCGCACCTGTTTTTACCGCAAATGTTGACACCCGGTACCTGCTTTGGAAAACGGGGGTTGATAAACGCAAGCCAACCCCCCTCGCGCACGCCAGGCACAGATTGGTGTGTGGGCCTGCACGCCAAAGCGGATTGGCGTGCAGGCCCACACACCAATCTGTGCCTGGCGTGCGCGAGGGGGGTTGGCTTG